AGGACGAAGAAGGAAGAATGCCGGGGTTAACTTGCAACGCATGTAACAAGGAATTCAATGACGATTCAGAGCAAAGACTTCATTACAAGTCCGATTGGCACCGTTACAATCTCAAGCGAAAGGTATTGTCTTTTCAATCCTTTTGTTTTCCGGTTCTTCAATATGGTGTATGGAATATGGATTTCCTTTTATAGGTCGATGTTGAATCATTGAATAGCTGAAGAATCTGAATTTTTATGATGTTTTGAATGTGGATTCTTCATATAAAGGTGTTTGGTTGATTTTTGGGTAAAAAAGGGTGGAGAGATGGTAGGTATAATTTAATGGTATTCCGTCATCTTTTTAGATGCATACATAATCTGCTTGGTAATTAGGATGCCCCATGAGGCTTGAGCTCAATTGTGCATTTTGATGAACTTTGATAACCTTTTTTTTTGGGGTTGAAAAGGTTTGAGCTTTGACGATTTCTTGTTCGGTTTCATGATGGATAGTCACAGAAATTGGAATGCATTTTTTTCCGATCAAGTAATAACTCTTGTGCTGAATAAATGGGAATTGCCTTATATTTGATGAGCTTGAATAATTTGGGACATCTTTTTCATCTTTTTTGGGTGAAAATCAGGTAGCTGGGGTTCCGGGAGTCACTGAAGCTCTGTTTCTGGCTAGGCAATCAGCACTTGCTCAAGAGAAAAATAAGCAGAATGAAACTCCCATGCTCTACAGTTGTGTTCTTTGTGGGAAGGGGTATCGAAGTTCCAAGGCTTATGATCAGCATCTGAAATCACGAAGCCATGTTTTGCGGGCTTCTCAAGGAAGTAATCAGCCTGAAGAGCAGAAGGTAATAATTAAGCCCCTTCCACGTCGTGTTGTGAATAAGCTTCCTCCACAGAGGGAAGCAATAGGTGAAGAGAGTGAGGGAAGTGAGGATGAGTGGGAGGAGGTTGATTCTGAAGAAGAATTGGTTAGCACAGCTTCCAAGTCCTTGACTGCATTGAATGTGGATGAGCCTACCTCAAGCAATGATATGGATATCAATGGTGATGAAGATGATGAGGAAGAAGATGAGGAATTGGATCCATCATGTTGTTTTATGTGTGATCTTGAGCACGATACCTTAGAAACCTGCATGATTCATATGCATAAGCAACATGGATTCTTCATTCCTGATATTGAGTATTTGAAAGATCCGGAAGGCTTGCTAACTTATCTTGGGCTCAAGGTACAAGTTATATAGGCTTGTGTTTCTATTTGACAAGTAGCTTTATACTTTAACATTCAATAGTAATTGGTATTTCATTTTCTGATGCCTGCTTTCCTTTTTCAGGTGAAGAGGGATTTCATGTGTCTGTATTGCAATGATCGGTGTCATCCTTTTAGCAGTTTGGAAGCTGTTAGGAAACATATGGCAGCAAAGGGTCATTGCAAAGTACATTATGGTGATGGTGGTGATGATGAAGAAGCCGAGCTGGAGGAATTCTATGATTATAGTAGCAGGTACTTATCTCATTTCAATTTCTTCTGTATACCCTTTATAAAATTTAACTTCTTGTATATTCTGTTGTTTATTTAATTAGATATTAATTGTTATTGTTCATTTTTTTCATTTTTTATGAAACAGCTACATGGATGAAGATGGAAAGCAGTTGGTTGCAGCAGGTGACATGGGTGATGTAGAACTTGGAAGTGGATCAGAACTTGTTATAACTAGAAGATCTGATGGTGGGATATCGACTAAAACACTTGGTTCACGTGAATTTTTACGTTATTATCGTCAGAAGCCACGCCCATCACCAGCAAATAACGTGGCCATTACAGCTGCATTAGCCTCAAGGTCATTTTTGTTATCTTCAAATCTCTCATTCCATTTGAAACTCAACTCCCATTCTCTCATTTCTTGCCCTCAAATCTAGTAATAATACAGAGCTTTATATTCATTTTCAGGTACCGGAGTATGGGGTTAGCAACCGTGCAGTCAAAGGAGCAGATAGTGAGGATGAAGGTAATGAAGGAGATGAATAGATCGGGCGTGGAGGTCATGCGCACGAAACTTGGTATCAAGAACAATGTTATCAGAAACCTGCCAAAGAATGTCCCATATTAGTCGCGCCCAGTTGATTCCTTCTAGTAATTGATATTGCAAAATGACTATATGGATTTGTGAAAATGTAATAGTAAGCGTCAGCCAAAAAGAAAGAAAAAAAGAACATGTTAGTCATGTGATGATCTTAAGGAATTTTTCTAAAAATTTCAAAAAAATTTGGTAGTTGGTGAGATGAATCAGATCATTGTAACAGATTTAAAGAGCTTTCCGGGTTCCTGCTTGATTCATGAATTTGGATGATATTAAATCGAACTGTTACTGGCTTGAAGTTGCAACTTGTTAACAAATATATATCATTTATTTATTGATACAGGTATAAGATGAGATAGCTCTTTCTTTTCTACCTCGAGATCTTCAGTTTCAGGTAGAACTTCAGTTTAAATGTTGAAGCTCTTACCTGCTGGGACAGCAACTTTATAATTTATATGGTGGAAAAGGATACTTTATATGGTGGAAAAGGATCGAGAATGATTTGCCCCAAAGTTCTTATTAAGGAATAGAATCTCACGCTTCAAGGAATATGCTAACAATGATACGAGAGACGTCAGTTTCAGACGTGGGAGTAATCCAGGAGAATAGTACCGAGAGGCCGACCTATTGACAACGATCACAAGAGAATTTAGGTATGAACAGTTCATATTTTTATGTTCCAAGGGTCCTTTTCATCCCTTGTCCAGCCCAACATACATAACTTCCACTACGCAAAAAAGACGACTTTTTTTTTTCTTTAATCTTAAATAATGAATTATACAATTAAAAAAATAACCATTTTTCCCCTTCCCAAGCCCCTCCCAGAATGCTGAAACATCCCCTTGGCAACACTCAAAAAATATGATATCGCCATATCTATTTAATCCATCCCATTTCCACAATAATCAAACATTTAACATGATTAATTAAAATCCCTCTGAAGCCATGGTAATCAAAATACTGGAGTTCAATCTTCCCTGTTGTGTGCACAGACGAAGGCATTAGTAACATCATAATTCATAACATCCCTACTAGCTACAATGAGGATGGTATTATTAGAAGCTGCAGGCCTGAAACGGCCTAACTGATGTTTCATTGGAATTACATAGAAGATCAATCATGTAATTATCATATTTTTGCACATCAGATTTCTTTGTGGAATTGAATTTTCAAGGCAGCAAAGAAAAGATGGTAAACATATAACGAAATGGAAATCCATTGATTGAATATTCATAACAAATTTGTCCAGAACCGTAAAAAGATACAGAGGTAGCTAGATTTTACATGGTTGAAATCCTAATCAATCTGCGCTGCATGAAGCATCCCTGTGCTCTCTGCTTTGGCGGATTGCCAACTTTTCCTTTTTCCTTCAGTCCTTTGCTTTGCACAATGCGTATCTAATTATCATGGAATCGAGAACGACGTCTCCTGGAACTGTGAAATTCAGGAACAATGAAACATTAGATCAAACAAAATGTGTCAACTAAACAAATGCAAGAAATTACAAATCACAGGTGAGTCACATTATCAGAAATATAGGTCGGGATGGACTGGGGGAACAAACAAACATGACATTGGCTTATTATTCTAATGATACCCAATATGTTGCATTTCTGAATTGCTCTTCATAGAAAGAAGCTAATTCATGTACAGTCCAAAAAGGGAAAGATGCAATACTGACCGGCGGTGACTGGAGCTACCTCTGGAGGGACCACTTGCACTAACAAATTCATCATCAGTCTCATCTATTCTATACTCAGCAAAATCTACAGAAGTCACTGAACCATCATCAGAATTTGATGTATCATAACCTGAGCGGCGACTTCCTCTCCTATTATCACTGACTCTTGACCTCCTTCTGTTTCTAGAATTCCTTAAGTTATCAAAAACCTGATACAAAATGCAGGAGGTCCACCAGTTGCCTTCATCACCAGGGAAGTCCTCAAACTCATCTCCAGTTTCATTGTCACCATACTCAATCACATAGTCTCCTAGAACCACCCCACGTGGGACTTCTGAATGTATAGTGCTTAAAACATCTATGATCTCAGAGGATTGCTGAAAATTTTCCCAGTCAAGCACTCGAGCAGGATCAATTTTTGAAGGACGAGAATGTGGGTGCTCCAGCTGAGCATGTTTTTTAAGTTCTAAATATGTTCCGGTAAATGTGCACTGTTCCTCCTCACAACAACGTTTCTTCTCATCTAGATGTAGACGGGCCTGGTCAACAACAATCCACCCAGTCACTTCCCCTCTACACAAGGGACAAGATGGTTTGCAGTTCTCTTCAGATACCATTAACTCAGTATTTGCTGTTGCACTCACATCAGATGGTAAAGGGGAAGACATCCCATATGCATTTTTGAAACGATCCAAACAATTTGAGTGCAAATGGTCAGTGTCACACACAAAAGGACGGCATCCCTTCTCGTAAGATGAGCATTGTAGGAGTACACCATTGTGGGGGAAATCTAAACATATAGGACAAACCACATCATCCCAATTTGTATTCAACTGAATGTCCTCCATGTAGCATGTATTAGCTTGGATCCCTCTTTCACAGTAAGGTTCGAAGGCCATATCAAGACAACTTACATAGAGATCTACGATAACACCACATGTACCTCCCTCATATCACAAATATTGATTATATCAATAGAACTTGTCCACCATGAAAATCAAGCTAAGAATGATCAACAAGTAGAATCATCCCTTGATAATCTGTATATGGTAGAAAACACCAAGCAGTCATGAACACATTTATTTGCAACAAATACCCAAGTCTAAAAATATACCAAGCAAGAAAACTAAGAAGCTTTAAGTTTGAATGGCTCAATTATACAAAATAAAACCAGTCAATTTTCTCCTATAACTATAATTTTTAACTTGGAAGGCGATTACCATTAAAAATGAAACGACTTGAAAAGGGATAACGTAGATGCAATCTCCTGCCACCCAGTCACCTCTGAGAATAAAATTTATCACTCAAAATCAAACCTTTCAAAGGGATATACAACCCCCATGCAATGATTTTTCTTAATCTAAACCCAGCTAGAACTAGATTCACTATTGTCCCAAAATACACAGTATCATCAAAAGACTTCAAAGTAACAAATTCATCAAGTGGGTATCCAGAACAATGAAAAGGGATTTAAAAATGCAAAACCAAATCCCAAAATCACATCAACATGGACACAGCCACTAAGACATGGAAATTAGTGATCATGGGTATTACAAAAAGAAAACAAGAACCCAGAAAATCAACTAAGACACCGTGCAGAGTCCATAAGACACCATCAACACAGAAATCAACCAAACAAAAACCTGGGTTACCTTCATAAAGCTCCATTCTGAAGTGAAAATGGATGTAAATGCCAAAAAGATTGAGAATTTATGAGAAAGAGAGACTTTATTCTTCCCCAAACGTCAGTGGGATGGAGGAATGAAAACTGAGAAGGTCAGTTTAGGAGTGCAGCGCCTGTCCCTTTTCTGCTCGCCTTAAACATTTTTTTTTTTTTTTACATTTCATTTTTCAAAAGGATAAAAAAGGTAAAGCACATCTTTTTCAGTGCAATTGACGTAATTGCCCTTTGTTATCGACCGACTGCGTTACTTTTCACGTTCTGTAGTTTTTACACGTCAGCTTCATTTCAAGGTTAAATGCTTAATTTGGTCCCTCAACTATAGTGGTTTGCACATTTTTGGTCCCTTAACAATTTTTTGCACTTTTTTGATCCCTCAACTACAAGAAATGCACTCCGTTAGTCCTTCTGTTAATTT